GCGGTTGTTGTGGACAGGGGAGCGCGGCGGTGACGGCGGCGGTTGTTGTGGATGGGGGTTGTGCTGCGGTGGCGGTGAGCACGACAGTGACAGCGGCGGCTGTTGTGCACAGGGCAGCGCAGCGGTGGCGGTTGTTGCACACGGGGCAGTGCGGCGGTGATGGTGACGGTTGTTGTGCACAGGGCAGCGCGGCGGTGGCCGTGACGGTTGTTGCGCGCAGGGCAGCGTGGTGGTGATGGTTGTTCTGCACAGGGCAGCACGGCGGTGATGGTGATGGTTGTTGTGCACAGGGCAGCGCGGCGGTGGCCGTGATGGTTGTTGCGCGCAGGGCAGCGTGGTGGTGATGGTTGTTGTGCACAGGGCAGCGCGGCAGTGATGGTGACGGTTGTTGTGCACAGGGCAGCGCGGCGGTGGCCGTGACGGTTGTTGCGCGCAGGGCAGTGTGGTGGTGATGGTTGTTGAGCACAGGGCAGCGCGGCGGTGGCCGTGATGGTTGTTGTGCACAGGGCAGCGTGGCGGTGATGGTGACGGTTGTTGTGCACAGGGCAGCGCGGCGGTGATGGTGACGGTTGTTGTGCACAGGGCAGCGCGGCGGTGGCCGTGACGGTTGTTGCGCGCAGGGCAGTGTGGTGGTGATGGTTGTTGTGCACAGGGCAGCGCGGCGGTGACGGCGACGTCCCCCAGCACGCGCCGCCATGGAGTACGGCGAGCGGCTGGCGCGGTTTCGGCAGGCCCACGTGAACCCCTTCGACAAGGCGCCCGAGCAGCACGAGGGCCCCGAGGCGCCGCCCGCCCCAGGTGGGTGCCGGGACGGGGGGGACACACATGGGGCCCCTCCATCCCGTCCCCTGAGCCGTGTCCCCCSTGCAGAGCGGCAGCCGGAGCCGTCCCCGGAGGACACCGAGGGCTCGGAGCGCCCCATGGATCTGGGGCTGGCCGAGGACCACTTCTCGCGGCCGGTGGTGAGCGGGGCCGGGGGGGCGCGGCGCCGCGGCTCCCACCGCCTTCCTCCTCACCCTCATCTTCCTCCTGCCGCTGCTGGCGCAGGGGCTGCTGGTGGCGTCGGACGTGCGGCAGCTGCGGCAGGCCATCGAGGAGTGCAAGCGCCTCATCCCCGAGCTGCCCGAGCACTCGGAGCGCCAGAAGGACGCCGTGGTGCGGCTCATCCACCTGCGCCTCAAGCTGCAGGAGCTGCAGGTGCGGCCGGCGCCGGCGCGCGGGGCCGGGGCGGCCGCGGGGCCGGCTCCAACGCGCCCGCCGCTGCCCAGGACCCCTCTGAGGACGAGCCCAACCTGCGCGTGGTCCTGGAGCACCGCTTCTACAAGGAGAAGAGCAAGAGCGTGAAGCAGACGTGCGACAAGTGCAGCGCCATCATCTGGGGCCTCATCCAGACCTGGTACACCTGCACAGGTGGGCCTGGGACCGGCCCCCCGCCCTGCCGCCCCCCGCCCGCCCCGTCCTCACGGCCGCCCGTCCCCAGGCTGCTACTACCGGTGCCACAGCAAGTGCCTGCCGCTGGTCACCAAGGCGTGCGTGAGGTCCAAGGTGAGCCACCAAGCCGAGTACGAGCTCAACATCTGCCCCGAGAGCGGGCTCGACAGCCAGGACTACCGCTGCGCCGAGTGCCGGGCGCCCATCTCGCTGCGTGAGCACCGCCCTGGGGCTGGGGGCCAGGGGCACGTGGGGCTGGGGACCAGGGGCACGTGGGGCTGGGGGGGTTTGGGGCTTTTGGCTGTGCCAGGCTGGTACGGGGGCAGTGTGGGGCTGGGAGCCACCAGAGGTGTGTGGGGCTGTGTGGGGCTAAGGGCCAGGTTGTGTGGGACTGGGGAACATGGATTTGAGGGGCTGGGGGCTAGGGGTATTTGGGACAGAGGACGAGGGGCTGGGGCTGCACAGAGCTGGGGAGCAGGGATATCTGGGGCTGGGGGACATGGATGCGTGGGGCTGGAGGCTGCCTGGGGTGCGTGGGGCTGCAGGGCCGTGGGGCGCGGGCCCACGCGTGTGCCGCCGCAGGAGGGGTGCCCAGCGAGGCCCGGCAGTGCGACTACACCGGCCTCTACTACTGCAGCAGCTGCCACTGGAACGACCTGGCCGTCATCCCGGCCCGCGCCATCCACAACTGGGACTTCGAGCCCCGCAAGGTGCCCGCGGGGGTGCGGGGACCGCGCTGTGGGGCTGGGGACCCGGGGAATGGGAGGCTGTGTCCCTGGGGAGGGGTCCCTGGGGGGCTGTGTCCCTGGGGAGGGGTCCCAGGATCCCTGTCCCAGGCAGTTGCCTTGGGGCTGGATTCCTGGCAGGGGTATCCATGGGGGCTCAGGACCCTCAGGAGGGATCCCAGGGGTATCCATGGGAGCCAGGGCCCTGGGCATGGGACCCTGCTCTGGGCTTGGGGTCCAAGGGGGGCTGGTTCCTGAGGGTCCCTCAGATGGGGGTTCCTGGGGGCTGTGTCCTTAGCAGGGGTCCCTGGATGGGGTGTCCCCGGGGTTGTGGTTCACCCCAGAGCGCCGTGGGGCCAGGCGCAGCCCGAGGGGTGACGGTGGGGGGTGACAGCAGGGGGTGACAGTGGGGTGATGGCGGGGGGCACGCAGGTGTCCCGCTGCAGCATGCGCTACCTGGCGCTGATGGTGTCGCGGCCGGTGCTGAAGCTGCGGGAGATCAACCCGCTGCTCTTCAACTACGTGGAGGAGCTCGTGGAGATCCGGGTGAGCGGGGGGCCCCGGCCGGGGGGCAGAGCCGGGCGCCCGAACCGACCCGCCCGATCCCGGCCCCGTCCTCACCCGTCCCGGGCTGCATCCCGTCCCTGTGCCCATTCTGGCCCCATCCTGCCTTCATCTCCACCCTCTGTCCTGCCCTGCCCTCTCACATCCTTGTCCCCATTCTGTATCGTCCTTGTCTGCAACCCTCCCTGTTCCCATTTTGTCCCTGTCCTGTCCAYATCCCATCCTTGTCCCCATCTCATCTTGTCCTCTCTACAACCCATCCCGCTCCATCATGCTGTCATCCTTACCTCATTCCCATCCCATTCCCCTCCTGTCCCCATCCCATCCTGTTGCTGTCCTTGCGCCATCCTGTCCATCTCCATCCTGTCCCCGCAACCCTCCTTTTCCCTGTCGTGTCCCATTGACATCCCATCCTTGTCCCCATCCCACCCCATTTTCCCCTTGTCCCCATCCCGATATCCCCCTTATCTTGCTGCCATCCTGGCCCGCTCCCGTCCAACCCTTGCTGTCCCTGCTGTCCCCTTTGCCCCGCCGTCCCTCCCTGCGGCGGCGGCCCCGCAGAAGCTGCGCCAGGACATCCTGCTCATGAAGCCCTACTTCATCACGTGCAAGGAGGCGATGGCGGCGCGGCTGCTGCTGCAGGTGAGCGCSGCGGCGGCGCGGCGGGCGGCATGGCGGGCGCCGGGCCGCCGGGCGCCCCGTGACGCCCCCGTGGCCGCAGCTGCAGGAGCGGCAGCACTTCGTGGAGAACGACGAGATGTACTCGCTGCAGGACCTCATCGACGTGGAGGCCGGCCGCCTGGGCTGCTCGCTCACCGACATCCACACGCTCTTCGCCAAGCACATCAAGCTGGACTGCGAGGTGAGCTGGGGGGGGACGCTGGGGGGCTGCCCCACGGCGCCCGCTCACCGCCCGCCCCCCGCAGCGCTGCCAGGCCAAGGGCTTCGTGTGCGAGCTCTGCAAGGAGGGCGACGTGCTCTTCCCCTTCGACAGCCACAGCTCCGTGTGCGCCGACTGCTCCGCCGTCTTCCACAGGTATGGCCGGCATGCCCGGCGGGGTCTGGGATGTGCCAGGGGGTCCGGAATGCCCTGGGAGTCCAGGATGCCCGGGGGGGCGGGATGCACATCCTGGGAGGTCGGAATGCCTGGGGGTCTGGGATGCACCAGGGGGTCAGGGATGTGCCGGGGGTCTGGGATGTGCTGGGAGTCCAGGATGTGCCAGGGGGTCCAGGATGCCCGGGGGTCCGGGCTGTCCTGGGGGCTGTGCTGTGCTGGGGGTCCGGGATGCCCGGGGGGGGGGCTGCGCATGCCAGGGTGCCGCCGCAGCCCCCCGCCCCCCTGCCCGCCCGCAGGGACTGCTACTACGACAACTCCACGACGTGCCCGCGCTGCGCCCGCCTCAGCCTGCGCAAGCAGTCGCTCTTCCAGGACCCCGGCGCCGAGCCCTAGGGAGCCCCGGGCCGGGGGCACGGCTGCCGCTGCCCCCCTGGCACGGGGGGGCTCCTGCCCCACGCCGGCACCGAGGGGCCGTGGGGCTCGGCCCCACGCGGGGCTCCCGCCGCAGCCCCCCGCGCGGTGGATCCGTCCTCCGGAGCTGCCCGGGGCTCTTCCCGCTGCGCCCGGTGGCTCCCGCAGGGCCGGGCACTGCATGGCGGGACACGGATACGGGGGTGCCGGCCTGCAGCGCCCCCCCATGCACACACTACTGCTCTTAACGCTGCTGCTGCGGCCGGACCCCCACAATGGTGCCCTGCAGCGTGGGGGGCTTGGGGACCGCGGGTCTCTGGGGACCGCGGGGTTGGGGTCCGCAGGTCTTTGGGGTCTGCAGGTCCTTGGGCACTGCAGGGTTTGGGGTCCGCGGGTCGTTGAGGACCGCGGGGTTGGGGGTGTGGGGCGCGGGGGCCGCCCGGTGCCGCGGGGCGCCCCGCTCCGTGTAGCGCTAACGAGGCCTCCATGCACCGCACAGCGCCGCCTCCGTGTCTCTGCTTGGGGACCCCCGGGCTGGGCGGCGCGGCCGAGACCCCCCGGGCGGCGGTTTTGGGGGGGTGCCCGTGGTGGGGGGCTGCCACGGGACAGGCTCCACCCTTGTGCCCCCATGGCCCCCCCGACCCCT